GTTTGGAGAAATGCTAGCTGAACTAAAGAAATAGTGTGTGGATTAAATATGTGTTTTCCTTTGAGAATGAATGTCACTAGTGTGATATGTCCATTGAGCAAAAGATAAACCCAAATGCACACACTACTAAGCAAAGCACTAAGCAATAAAAAATGAGTATCACTTCTTCCTCGTTTGCCACCCTTCAGATATACTAGCTCTCTTCCACTCCACCATCTGTGCAGTCAGCACTGGCAGGTACCTGCCGCTTTGCTCTCAGGGCCATATGCAGTAGCACTGCCCTGTTCCTGCACACTGCTTTAGCAAAGTTACCAGGGTCAGAGGCAATTTTCTGAATACTGTGCTTAATTTGGCAGTTTCCAGGCTGTCACTGTATGATATCACATCAATGCAATAAAACGTGAGAGAGCACTGCTGTGTAGAATAGAGCAGGGTGCATTTGTAATACAGATCAAAGCAGAAGTTACAGGTTAAAGTCTATCCTATATGTTATATGTTGTCTAGAGTATAATGCTATCTCTCAGAGAAACAAAGAAAATGAAGCTATAATGTCTTTTAAAATTATTTTGATATTAGAGTCCAAGGGGTAACTCATCTATGATAGGAATTTATTGTCTCTTCGTATTTCTGAACACTATGCTAAGGCCCAAGAAGTAAAAGTGAATGAAATAACAATGTCTTAAAGAATCATATTAGTTGAGGAATTAAACACATATTTTAATTATTATAAAAACCCATGAGATATTTATCATGAAGCATTAACAAAGGCCAGCTGATTCTTTAAGAAATGTATTTTTTAGAAAAGTTAGCATTTAATTTTTTTAAAAAATTTATTTATTTATTTATTTATTTATTTATTTGATATGGGGTCTTATTACACCATTCAGACTCATACTGATCCTCCTTTGTCAGCCTCCCTAGCTCTAGGATTAGAGGATTGGGGTTCTGGGGATAGCAGGACATGTGGTACCAGGGATCAAACTGGGGTCCTTGTACTAGCCAGGAAGGCAGGCACTTAGACCGCTGAACTATCTCCCCAGGCCTGAAAAGTTAATATTTAAAAGGAGCAGGAAAACAAGAGAAAAGAGAGCACAGAGACAAAAGGAGAAACCCACAGAGAGACCTTCTATGAGGAAGGCTTTCGAAAGGTGACACACAGCATTAGTAGTACTCACCCGTGTGTGGCATTTTGGGATGGGCTAGGAATGCTTGCTGAGGACTGAAATCCAGTACGCCTCACGTTCTGAAAGTGCTATGAGGTCCTGTGGACTAGCCCTGCCTAACTTACCTTAACACCTTCAGCCACTAGCGCAGGACCAGGTACTCAGGAAGGGTCCAGTAAGTGTCACAACACTTACTGAAGGATAGAGGGTAGAAGGAGGATACTCTAGGCGAACTGGAGAAAACTGATGAGAAGTTTTCCATTTCCAGGCAGATTAGGTAGTGTTGGAATCAGAGAGATTGGGCCATTTTTATCTTTGCAACCTTGATTAGTTAACCATCCTTACTAAGCTTTGGTATCTTCAAGGAAAAAAAAAGGGGGGGGATTAAATAAATTAATTTACATAAATATTTAGTTTACAGCATAGCAAAACATAATTGATTCTTTTTTATGTATTTAGAGGGTCTGCAGGTTCTCACCACACAGATGAGACTCATAGTGATCCTCCTGTTTTCAGCCTCCCAAACACTGGGATTACAGGTGTGCACCACCATGCCGAGTCTCATTTGCCCTCTTAGGATATATATTATGGAAAGGGTCATGTTTGGGGTGGTTTGAATTTCAAAAGTGAAAGCTTATTTAAACTTAATATGTTCAGTGACAGGAAGTTCTTAATGTTTTATGAACATGGAAGAGACAAGTTTTACAAAGAATGAAGAAGAATATTTTGGAAAAGAAAAGCCTGTGTCCAGAAGGAGAAAAATAACCCTTGGTATCATCCAATATAAGATGAATTGCCTGACTTCGAAGCAGAGCTCCAGAGTTGACTAAGCATATAATTTTGGGCAGATAAAACTTCTGTGTATCTCTGTGAGATCTTAGATATTCATTACAAGTGTTTTTAAGATTAATGAAATAATCAGTTCATGACATATATGTTGTTTAGTAGAGTTCCTGACTTGTTATAAGAACTCAATGTTAACTATATTTGTGGTTATTATTTTTATAAGATTATATTACCCTTGTTGACAGTAAGAATGGGGAAGCATATAAAAAGATATGTCAGAAGAAAAATGTAACAGTATTTGTTGCATAATTTCATGTGTGATACACACTTTGATTAAAACCCTAAATATACGAAATATGTTTTTCTAATACGGGTTATCTTGTGTGGAAGGAATGCCTTGCCTTGGGCCTCTCAATTTTCACACCTAATCGGACTCATTAAGGTAGATTATGCAAAATACTGCAATAATTTTTTTTTATGTTTCAGGTAAGGAAAAAGGGAACTTTTAAATACATTCCAAATGTCAGAGTGAGAAATGAAATAAACAACTAGGTTCAAAGTGAGAGACAAGGAAAACACTTTGCAGTGTAAAGGTCTCTGTTAGGAACTAATTCAATCCTGATAGCATGTGACTTTGTAAATTCAGAGTTACATGATAATAATTCATTTTTCACATCCATCAGCTTAGCATAAGACTCCTCAACTGAGAATTTAATGAGCAAGATAAAATAGAGAAGATAGAGACATTTCCTGAAGTTTACTACAAAGTTATAAGTGTACAAGTAATCTTAGAAATTAGAATCATTCACTAATTTGTCAGTGCCACTATAACAAAATTATATCATCTTTTACCAATAACATCTTGACAAATTTTTATCTTCTATTTTAAATACATGCTTCTTTCCATCTACTATTGCTTCATATTTTCTCTTATTCTTTAAGCAAAAGCATATTTCCCCAATGTACAGTGTTTTGGGAGTACAAATATATATGCAGCATCCAAACATCAAAATCACTCATGATTTCACTTCTGCGGAGCTCTAATATTAAAATTCTGAAATATTTATTTCAGATCTCTTTAAATATTTATAGGTAGCAAGCTAATCCTTAGAAAGATAGACAAATATAGGTTTTCTTAAGTTAGTTGCTACATGTAAAAATTTGATTCATGTTGTATCTTAGTTAATCTTATGATAAATGAATATAAGATTATTTTATATGCTTCTAGGTTAATAATGTAAAATTCAGAATATTTATACATATCAGTTTTCTGTCTAAACTATATAGCATCTACAGTTTCATTTTTGTAGAGATTTATTGTGTTGGACATCTGCTTATTTCCATTGTCCTCTTAATAATAGGCTTGGAAAGTATTATCAACATTTGAACAGGAAGCAATAAGAGGAGAAAATATTTCTCTGTGGTGTCCGCCAGGTGTAACAGTGAGCTCTTGCAGCTAGCTAGATTATAAGCCTTAGAGTGTACTCTGATGTGTGTGAAGCACCCTTGAGGTTGATGTCATTCAGAGAAACTCAGCAAAAATAATAATTTAACTTTTAATATTTTCATTAAAATATGAATAGTCCACTTGTCCCAATTTTGCAGAGTTATCACACTCATTTACCTCTTACTAAATGTGCATGCATGTGGGTTAGGAAGCCAAACCTGTCTTCTTCCCTCTCTTGCCTTCTCCTCCCTTCTCAGGGCTGTCACCTGGACCTGGGGCTAAGTTTCCCAAATACTCAAATATTTGATAAACACTGCTTTCATTACTGAGGATTCTCTAAATGGCTTAAGATAATCTGGCTATATTTATAATTTTTTTAAAAAATTAAATAATGTTTGAGTATAATTTACAGAGCCAGAAAGGTTGAATTAAATTTTTGTCACCATCTAATGGCAAAATTACTCATAATCATGTAATTTCTAATGTCATTTGGGAAATGAAAATGACACTAAAGTCTTCTTCTCAGTGTCACTAACCACAAGAAGATAGGATTATTCCAGGACTCCATTTTGAGGGTATAACATAACCACTTTTCACTTATGAAAATAAATATTAATTGTGTACTTGCTATGCTTCAGATACTGATAGTACAACAAGAAAAAAAAAGTCCCTGTGTCTATGGAGCTTACCTTCAGGAAGTCTGAACAATACACACACTAACTGGAAAATCTTACATAATGTTTCAAGTCTTCGGTATATTTATTATTTTGTAGTCGGTAGATCAGTTGTCTTTCTACACATTGGTAACAAAAAGTGGCTTAATCTTTAACTCCCTTGTCAGATGTTTGTGCTCTTGATTTAAAGATCTGTTATACTTTGATCGGTGCTATAGAGGAAACAAACAGTTTTTTAATCTCTTCATAAAAGTAGCCAATTTAAATTGTTCTTATAATAAATTGTCAGGTAAATTTTAAATTCAACATGAAGTTTATGGTATCTTTTAAAAGTATTTTATATGCCCATCTCAGCAGCTTATTGTAAGGAAATGTATAAGAACACAAAGTAGCAATTTGAAAAATGTTATCAATGTACTTCAATAATAGTAATATATATTGACCATCCAATTAGGTTAGTTTTTCTCATTCTCTTCTTTTCTTTATGTCCCTTCTCCTCTCCTCTCCTCTCCTCTCCTCTCCTCTCCTCTCCTCTCCTCTCTTCTCTTCTCTTCTCCTCTCTTTCTCTTCTATTTCTCTTTGCTTTCTTTCTTTTTTTTATGTATTTGTACAAGGTCTCACTACACAGCTCAGACTCAGTGATCTTCCTGTTTTCAGCCTCGCCAGTGGTTGGATTACAGGCACTCGCCACCACCCCTGGACTTTGTGGCTGGCTCAGTGTGCCTAGGGACAGAACCGGCACAGCACATGGTGCCCGGAATTGAATCCTAGTCCCTGTGCTTGCCCAAGCAGGAGCTTAGACCCCTGAGCTATCTTGCCAGCTCTCTTATTATTTTCATTCAAAATTTATACTTTTCATGTTGTTTTCCTTACTGGAACTATATTTTTTTATTTTCAATGTGTCTTAAAATATTTTTATCCTTCTTTCAGGAATTTGCTGCACTGACAAAAGAATTAAATGCCTGCAGGGAGCAGCTGCTGGAAAAAGAAGAAGAAATTTCTGAACTGAAGGCTGAAAGAAACAACACGAGAGTAAGTATAAAGTAGTGTATTTTGGAATTAATGCTGTACATAGTCCAATACCTTATATTCAGTATTGATGTAAAAACACAAGCATTTAGAAACTTTAGGAATACTATAAGCAGATAGGAATTTACAGTTACTTTATTTATTTATTTATTTATTTATTGGCGGAACTGGGGATTGAACTCAGGCCCTTGCGCTTGCCAGGGAAACACTTATTCTACTGAGCCATCTCCCTGGCCCCAACAGTTACTTTAAAAAGAAAGGACATATCATGAAACTCAAAATGACAAGAAACCTAAATTATAGTCCTGGCTACTAAATCAGTGCATTGCCTTAGAAGACATTGTCATTCTTTTGTCCTTTATTTTACTGGACTTTAAAAAGAAGGAGTGCATTTCAATAATGGGTTTCAAACTTTTATATGGTTGCATCAGAGGAGTTGTGATAACTCCGAGGCTACAAATGGATAAAGACGGAGATTTGGTGAAGAGCTAAGAGTTTGGATGCTGGAGTTCTGTGAGGATTTGGTCATTTCATTCCACTGGATTTTATCTGAAAACGAGAGTTACAAATGGAAAGCCATAGCAGCAGATCTCTGCCAATGGAAAGAAGCCTACCATTTAAATTTTAAAAGGTCACAAAAGAGACCTTGGGTTTTGATATACATTCTGATTTTATGAAATCTGATTTCATAAAAGTTGATATATTCTACTCTAGGAACTCACATGTCTGCTCAATTATATGACATGTCATGTAATATTAATGTTTAGAATTCAATCAAAGTTCTTATAATTCTAGTTTAGAATTTTTGTAAGATATATTAATTACATTACTCATAAATGACTTGTTTACTACAGTATAAACAAATTTTTTGTAGATATACATTTCATTTAAATATTAAGTATTTGAAAATATTTTAAACACCATAGTTTAACAAACTAGTGTTAAGAAAATAAAGCATCATTAATGATCTGTTTCATTTTTGCTTGGTCTTAGAGAGTAAAATCATAGGTTCATGAAATGTGAAAATATGCCTCTAACAGGAGTAGGAATTGCATGTAAAACAGTTATATAATCAAATTTAATTCATGTCTTTATTCATCGGGGTCTTATTTTGTGCGTTCATTGAGATTTTGATGAACTTTAACACAGATCACCACAAATAGCTTACTATGAGGGCAGTTCCAATCACATGATAGGTGTTGGATGAAATTATTCTTGTTTCTCTCTCCCTCTCTGTTTTTCCCACTTTCAGTTTTATGTTAACATTACACTTTCATATAAATTTAAAGTTTAGTTCTGTCATGAAATTTGTTCTGCCCTTATTTTATATTTTAATACTTTAGACTTGATGGAATTCTGTAAAACCAACTGTAAGAGTAGGATCAGGAAACTGAGAATAGAAGGAAACACCTCTCTCTCTCTCTCTCTCTCTCTCTCTCTCTCTCTCTCTCTCTTCCAGTGAATGCTCACATGTAAAATGCACCAAACACTTTTTTGGGGGGGTTGTGTGGCCCACTCAGCCCTCCCTGGGGTAGGGCTGGCACAACATGTGGTGCCAGAGATCGAACCATGGTCGCTGCGCTTGCCTAAGCTTGCCTAAGCAAGCACTTTAGTCTCTGAGCTATTGTGCCAGCACAACACCAAACACCTTTATTAGCCGAATATGTATTTCACCTTTGTATGTTACTTTTTCTATAGCGCTTTCCTTTTTCTGCACCCTAGTGAAGGGATGTTATGATAATCTCCATTTTATAATGGAAGTGAGCTCAGAAATTGTCAGCTAACTCAGCAGAAATCATACAGTAAAGAGCAGAGAAAGGAATTGAAAGGTAAAGAGCTCTAAATCCAGAGCCTGAACTGTTGGCCATGAGGTAATCAGCAGGATTACTCAGGTTATAGCCTTGAGAGAACTGAAAAGATTTACTACGGCTTAGAGAAAACATTCTCTAAAAGCTACACACATGTAACCATTGCTTTCATGTAGGCCACGTTAGTCCTTACTGTCTATTTTCCGAAATCCAAATCTAGGAGGTTTGGCTCAGCATCCGTATAATTTTCATCATATTAAACACAACAAGGCCCACAAGCATCTTCAGCTATTGCCTTGAATATGTCCCTTGGGGGGAAAATTCCTTTATTTGAGAGGACTACACTCAAATACATCATCAGTAGTTAGAGTAAGAAAATTATAAAATTCTCTTAGGATGACAGAAATTGCGGCTATGGATTTAAGCATGAATAGCAGTTATTTTGAAAATATGAACAAAACCGAGGAACAGTCTTCTACCTTCCTTAAAGCAGTGATGTAAAGGCCTTATGGTGCTGAATATATATATATATATATATATATATATATATGTTTTCATTGTTACAGTTCTTTCTCTTGCTATAAATGTACTTACTGGTCATGGAAAGAAAGAAAAAGTTCCTTTACAGCCAAAGAAACTGTGTTTGGTGTTAAAATGTGAGAAAGTTTAAACTAGAATTCAATGCTCAGGGCCAGTGAGATAGCGCAATGATCTAAAGTCCCTGCTTAGGCAAGCTTAGGCAAGCACCAGTGACCACAGTTTGATTCCCCGCACCACATGCCATGCCAGCCCCATCCCCAGGGTGGACTGAGCCAGCAACAAAAGAAGAATTCCATGCTCAAATTTCCAGGGTTTAGATAAACTTCTAGTTCCATATTTAGGAGTTAGCTTGCACATGTTTATGTACTGAGATTAAATAACAAAAAAGCCAGTCCATAAAGACCACTCCTGAGTGGATATTCTCAGTGTGTTAACTTTGAGAATTATCAAAAAGATCTTCTCTCATAATCAAAGTTGAGTAAATTCTGTTGTCTCACGAAACAGAAAGTTTCAGTGGGAGTTGAAGTTTATTTAATATATAAGGTAATATTAAAAATACTATAGCCAATATTATTGAGTGCTAAATAGTTTTCTAAATGTTCTACATTTTTCATTCTTGTGTCTTCACACAAATCACTGTCCCGATATCACTAATGGGGAAATCAAGATACTAAGTGACCTGCCAAAGCTCCATGACTTGCATGTTACACATCTAGCGATTCTGATTCTTGGTTTAACCAGAGGCTATATATTTAAGAAGTCATATTCTTATTTCATTCACAAATCGTGATGGATGCAAAGCAACTGATTATATTTAGGGAAGAATTCATTTAAATTTCCATAAGTCAGTAGATACCAATTGTGTGAAATTAATATATTTATTTTGATCTCAGTGCTGAAAGTTATGATCATGAACTATTTTTCTCACTACAGAAATATGTGGTCCGCAGTTCAAAGATATAAATGAATGAGTTAAGTTAATGTAGATTCTAGAATTGCTCTTAAATCATCCTATTATCACTCATGTTTATACAAAAAATATGTTTCAAAAATTACATGGATATTTACAGAATCATACAGTGAGCCTTATTGTTTATCATTTCCATAGGGAAAGACATATATAAAAATGAAATAATTGACAGGTAAATTAAAATTTATAATATTGCAAATAGAAAACAATAAATCCCACTAATCAAAATTATGAAATAAATATAAGTTGTAAAATTACTTATTATTTCTAAAGCTACTGTGTCAATACTTTGACACATTACCTTTATAGAAAATAACTTATTCCTGGACTGGGGAGATAGCTTGGCAGTTTAAGCACCTGCTTGGCAAGTGCAAGGAACCAGGTTTGATCCCTGTTACTGCACGCCATGTAGGCCCTGGAATCCCAGGTGTACTGTATCAGACACCGCAACCGGGCGTGGTGGTGCACACCTATCATGCCAGCACTGAGGAGGCTGAGACAGGAGGATCACTATGAATCTGAGCTGTGTAGTGAGACCCTGTACCAAATAAATAAATATTTAAAAATTAATAGCTTATTCCTGATTTATTTCAACATACTCAAGTTGATCAGTAAAACTTATCATGCTCTGGGAAAATCATATAGATTAATTAAAAGATAAAGAAAAATTAGGAATGTGAATACAGTTGTTACCCATTAGTATCAGAATCAAGACTATTTTCTGTTGTTGGAAGTGGTTTTGTGACTGAAGATTTCAAAATATGGTATAAGTTATTGACAATGATTTCAAATGTAACTATTGTATGACTTTGAAAAAGAAGAGATTTGAGAGCCAATTGTAAGACAATTTATAAATAATAAAACCGTGACTAAGTGTCATAGGTAATAAAACTAACAGAAAGACATAATTGCACTGGGAACATTCTTACCTGGCCTTTACTTTTGTTTTGAGCCAAAGGAGTCACCCTAATAAATATTCAGATGGACTCTGAACAGGCACTTGCTATTAGAAAGAAAAACTTCCTATTCTTGACAAATCTATGCCTGTACAAATTAGTAATTGCCTCTAAACATTCTTCTACAATGAACAGCAAATAAAACCTAATTCAAACAAGTAAACTCCAGCAGGTTTAAGCAGGTAAGGATATGCATGCATGTGCACGTCTATGCCTGAATATTTATTTATGAGAGTTCTAAGCTAGATATAACCCAGGAATGGACAAGATAGGACACACAGTCTCCCAACAGCTATTTCAATGTGATAATCAGACATGTACATAAAAAAACATCAATTTTCAACAACATTTGAAGGTGGTGACAGTGTGGGGACTAGATATGAAAGCAAGCAATTTTAGGGTTTTCACTTTCAGAAGTTCGTGTTGTGCTGTGTTATCCCATTAGCACGGGCAAATGAATTTCCGGGGCAGAAAATATTTCTACTTAAATGGTGTTTGTAACTGAAAATACTGGCACACAAGTTTATATTGAATTCATATCTAAAAGGAAGATGTACAGATCAGGAAATTTTTTTCAAGAGCATAGTAAAATAAAGATCATTATTATCCAGGTTGTTTTATTGATCTTAACATGATCCAAAAGTTGAAATTCTTAATGATTATGAAGGATGTGCCAAACACCTCTGTGTGTGTCGCTATGAGCGGACACCTGTAGTCCGTGGTGCTTTG